TAATATAAGATGACCCTAACCTAAAGTTAATTGAAATATACGGTCACGTGAATTTGCCCCCGCTTTAGACGTCCCCCCAAAAAGGTAAAAAAGAATGTAGATCATTGTGTCATGAAGATTACCACATCCAATCAGAATCAAGATTTTATGTACGAACGCCAAACCCGTTTTACTACGTTCCTGGTATATAATCTGGTCGGACCAAAAAGTGTAAAAATCCTGAAATCAATCATTTAAATCTCTTGTTTTTATCATTTCAGTTATTACAGAACAATTGCAAGAACAATAGCAAGTGCAAATGCAAGTGCAAGAACAATTGCATATAAGACTACTATATATGATAATACCAAACGTTTTCAAATTTGTGATACGTTCGATTGACTTTTTTCGCTCAAAAGCAAAAAAACCCCCAAAATTGGCAAACTTGTTCACAATTTTAAGAGCGTTGTTTAAGGCGTTGAAATAATAATCTGATGAATTCATTTCGCTTTCTTCATAGCATAAAGAGGCACGGAATGTCAGCACATGAGTGGCAAGCACCTGGCCCGTACGATAAAAGGTCACCGTGCCCCGCATTAAATACTTTAGCTAACCATGGATACCTGTGAGTATACAAATCTATATCCATTAATTTCCGTTAAGAATTTTTTTTTGTTTTTTTTAGAAAATTGATTTCGATAAAAACTTTATATTTTCTTATTAGACCTCGTAGCGGAGAAAATATCACAGCGAGTCAATTAGTAAAAGGACTTCAAGAAGGTCTTAACTCATCACCGCTGCTCGCCAATTTTTTAGCTATCGGTTGCTTTCATCTGCTTGACAAGCTATTCGATAAGACAGTGTATTTAGTAAAAAAATTATAATTTGAGCTATATCGATATTGGTACATTAGTTAATTAATAATTTAATTATTAATTTAAAAAGGAATCTTGACGATCTAAATCAACACAACATGATAGAACATGATGCGTCACTAACTCGAAAAGACTTTTACTTTGGTGATGATCACACCATCGATCCGGAATTAGTTGATTTGTTTCTCAAACAGAATATTGATGGAAAAATTAACGAGGAAGCATTATCAAAACTTCATTGGATCCGATTAAACAATTCAAAAGAAGTTAATCCGACTTTATTGTATAATACTAGACAAAAAATTCTTTCAGCAGGAGAATCGTCTTTATTATTAAATTTTATTGGCGCTAATACAAATTTTGAGATCGATATTGAAAAATTAGATGTATTTTTAAAGCATGAAAGGTTTCCAGAAGGATGGGAAAAGCCCAATAAGACAGTTGGACTTTGTTCAATCATAAGCGGTTTGCGCTCATTTCTAAAAAGATATGATCAACGAGTATTCAATTAAGGGTAAACAAAATATAGCGTAATACTCAAAGAATTAAATTACAGTATTAAAATTTCGCCTACAAATGTTAGTTTAAAGAAAATTGAATCTCATTACCGTTTCGGAATTACTATATATTTTTTACAGATTTTGAATTCAATCGTGCAAAAAAAGTGAAAAATGTAGCTTATAATAAATAAAATTTGAGAATTAAGATAAATTGTAATTTAAAAGTTTAAAATTGATTTTGGGTTAATACGTATCCTGAAAATCGAAATCCCGATGGTATTAGATCCCGACGCAATGAAAGAACAGAATCCCAAAGAGTAATATCCCGAAAACTAAATCTTGAAAAAAGAAAATCCCGAAAAGTCATAATCCTGAAAGATAAAATTCCGAAAAACTATAACCCTGAAAGATCTTAATTCCGAAAAGTTCAATCCCAAAAAGATCATAATCCCGAAGGATCATAATCTCGAAAGGTCATAATCTCAAAGAATTATAATCCCAAAAAGATCATAATCTCGAAGGATTATAATTTTGAAAAATTATAGTCTCAAAAGATTATGTAATACCGAAAACTTGTAATGCCGAAAGACCATGATCCCAAAGATTACAATCCTGAAAATAATTTACAGCTGCATCTGAGTCAAAATCCAGACAAACAAAATCCCGTAAAGGTCATAATCTCTACAAGTTATCATGCATTAACCGTAGCTCTGGTCAATTTTTGTCGGGATTCTGTTTTTCGAGATTTGACCCAGACCCTTTACAGTTCACATAAATTTTGGAACATCTGGTAAAAAGTTGGCCGAACGATTATTTGACCAATTCGATAAGTTTGTGATTTCGGTAGTGAGCAATTAAGCATATCTTTGCTAAACGACACTTTGTAATTTGGGTAATTATTTTTGAACCCGGACCAATTTTATATTTATGACATCATAACATTTTGGTCTGGATTCAAAAATAATCACCCATTTTGATAATTATTGATGTAAATAATGATATAAATGATTTACCACAAATCCCGACTTCAAAATCCCGACAATACATAATCCAAACAACCATAATCCCGACTAAGATAGAATACCGATACTTGCAAGTCAAGATCCCGACTAAGACAGAATCCCGACAGTATATGATCCCGATATTCAAAATCCCGAATAGTCAAGGTCCCGACGGTCAAAATTCTGATAGTCAAAATTCTGATAAGTCAGAAAAAGAGCACGAGTCTTATTGTAAAATACCGGAGATTTCCGTTTGCATGTGACAATTTTATCTACGAAAGTAACGTTACATGGTTGAATAAGCTTTTTGTGTAACATTAGAGTTTAGTTATAGGTTTTACTTTATTTAGGTTACAACATTTTTAATGCGATTATTAAGCTATGACTACATTTGCATAAAATAGTATCTTAGTCAATTTGAGTCTAATAGAATAAATATAATAGGATTATTCTTTGTAAACAGAGAGAGGTTCTTCTTTTACTCAATTGGTAGTAATTAGTATTTAGTGGGTTCTTTGTGTACCCTGGGAAGATACTTACTCGTATCGGTTACATTTATAGCACTTTTATTGTCTGGTGCATAATAATAAATCATTAGTTTCTTTTTTTAATGCTTACGATCAACAGTTAAATTGGCAGTGCAATAGTAAAGTCTCTCCCTTGTTGTAAACACCGACTGTATGTTTCTAAGTTCCGGCTAGGAAAAACGCTTCCGGAGAAAAATCATATTACATCAACCGGTCCCATAAAAAAAATTTTTAAAATCATATTTTCTCGGGCTATTTTTTTAAAAGATGAGCATTTTCCGTAACAAAAATCTATACAAAACCTTTAAATTTTTCTGAATATTTTCAAATTTCCTGAATATTTTTTGAAACCTTGTTAATTTCCTGATTATAATTTTATCAAGCAAAAAATTATAATCAGGAAATTAACAAGGTTTCAAAAATATTCAGGAAATTTGAAATATTCGGAAAATTTTAAAGGTTTTGTATAGATTTTTATTACGGAAAATGCTCATCTCTTAAAAAAATAATCTGAGTAAAGTCTTAATATGATTTTAAAAAATTTTTTATAGGGCGGAATTTTGTGCACTGGTCAGAATTCTGACAAGGCAGAATCCCGATAAATCTAATCCCAACCAGTGTTGAAAATTCGAATGTGTGGATCCAATCAAATTGCTTGATACAATTTGATTGGATCCGCACATCCGAATTGAAACACGTCAGAATCCTGACAAGTCAAAATCCCGACAAGTTAAAATCTTGACAATCAAAATCATTTTAGGTACGTAGCTGTCCCACAAAATTTTTCCACCCCTTGTAATAACGACCAATCGAATTTCAGGATCCGGTGTAACGTGATAGTCAAAACAAACGTGTTTTGTTTTCTAAGTAAAAAGTTATGTGCAAAATTAAAGTTAAGAAAACTGCGTTATAGTTAGGGCTAGGACTAGGATAATGTGACGTCTACAAGTAAATTTTACACGGAACATTTTTCATTAAACGACAGAAGGCGGTTTACTAATTAAAATTTAGAGCTATTCTTATTTTTTTTGCTTCGTCTCGAGTTTCACATTACACCTGATCCTGAAATTCGATTGGTCGTTATTACAAGGGGTGGAAAAAATTTTGTGGGACAGCTAGGGGCTTCAATCAAAATCTGACAAGTCAAAAACGTGACAAGTTAAAATCCTTGATGGTCAAACTTCTGACAATTTATTATGCTCTTCAAATTACTGTGATCACCAAATTTCATGCGTCACGCACACGCGGGAATCTGAGAATCTGAGAATGTAAATTTAATATAAGGCCAGACCAATTTAATTCGGTGGTTTACATTACCCCCTCTTCTGCCATCCCCCATTTTCCCCCTCACTATATATGCGGAAAATTTCGGAAAACCTTTATAATATCGCGGATCATTTCGGAGAAAGTTTTTATAATAAATTCCCTCCAGCTCCCCCTCCCCCCCTTTTGTGAGAAGGATGTAATGTAAACCACCGAATTAAATTGGTCTGGCCTAAGGTAGCTGCGCGACGCTGTCGTACGAAGACAGGAACGTAAATTTATGGTTATATGTAGTGTTGGCAGGCGAAACTACTTTTGGCAAATGGCGAAGCACGAAACTGGAGAAATTCTAGCAAAACGGCAAAACTCCTGGTAAAGTTGAAACCCTTGGAGAAAGTCAAAGCTCGGCGAAGACCAAGTATCTAAGACTTTGAAAAAGACTGAGCCATTTTAATGAAACAAAATATTTTGTGTGCGGCTAAAAATATACAAAAGCAATAAACAAAGCGATCCCTTTGTTGTATTCAAGTATTATCAAAAGAAAAAAACCAGACTTCAGGCTTTTGAAATTTATAAATAAATAAATTAAGTCTTGAAAATTCAATCCTGAAATCTTGTTTTTTTTCATTAGTGCTCAACTATATGTTAATATTATTCATATAAAATAAACCTATATAAATATTTAAATAAATTTATTGTTATATTGTTGAGATTTTTTCACATTAACATTTCATTGTTAAAACTTTAGTCAAATGTCATACATATGTAAGCAGTTCGTTGACATTATTATTACTACCAATTATTTCCCGGTGTTAGCCCTAAATCTCATGGCAAACTTTAAGAAAACAATTGTCTTGGTGTTAACTTAAAATAAATAAAATGTAGTAAAATTTAGATTGTTGATCAAAAAGCAGCATATGAATTAGCCAGGGTGGCTCCCAAAGTGCCAGTGACGTAAGATCAATTAGTACAAATTTATTGGCTCTTCTAGCTGCATTTGTAGATCATCTAATCTAATATCTAATATACTATACTATATATTAAAAGTGTATCGTGTGTCGGATACCCTTCAAAGTTACGTTTTTGATATCTGTTACGTTTAAACCAAGTTATGTCCTGTAAGCGCCGCAGTTTAATTCTTAATTCTGCTATTGTATCGACATATATGCATGGATGCATATAACGTATCCATATGTCATGCGCCAATTAGAAATATACAACATGTATGGCTGATATAAATCGTAATAGTTTTGCCAGGTTAATACTTGCTTTTAATTATTAAGCCACGTATGTACGTACGTATATACGTAAATTTTACCAAAATAGGATATGCTTCTGTGATAATATCGATATTGTTATCGATATTGTAAATATCGTGTTAGTTTGAAACAAGGTCATTTTATAATAATAAAATCTTTATGTCTATCGATTTAAGGTTACAGTTTGTTTTTTTCTCTAGATGAAAAAAAAGAATCGTGTTCGTAGTAGATTGATTCAATAAATAAAATAGATTTGATTTCGAATTCTGTAAACTGATAACAATAATTGAATTCAATTCAATATTAATAATCAAAACTAGACGAAATCTAATTTGATAGTTCAATAAAATAATAAATTACAAAAATTAAAAGAACAAAAAATTGGCCATATTAATCACAGAGAAAATAAAAAACCCTAATGTTTTAAACTATAAATACTCTTGATAATTTAACAAACGTTTTGACTTTAAAATTTTCGATTTTCGATAATTATAATAAAAATATAAATTTTTGAAATAACAATACTGGTATAACATGCTTAGTGATGTGCCGTTTATATGATAACCCAATTTTTTTCGTGTACAGTACGTACAGTACATACAGTATATATAGTAAATAATTAGAAATAGATCTGCATTATTACTATAGCAAAATCTTTAATACCAGGAACGGAGTGATGAATATCACGAAGTGTATGGCTTATTCGAGAAAGAAATTATATGCGTACCCAAAATCTAATACCCGATTGGTCAGCGTGATCATAGTTGTCACATCTTGAATATTCTTCACCCACTATTAAAATCATGACCCGCCTCCGTCAAAGCCATGAATCTATTCATCCACTGTTAAAATCTCTGCTAATTCATGAATTTACACTACAAAATCTGGACTCCACCCATTGCTAAAATCTTTAACTTATCATTACTAGAATTGTAAACACTCATTGACTTATTTAAATTACT